TGTTGGGCTCCAGCAATCCTTCCACCTCAGCCTTCCAAGTAGCCAGAACTACAGGTGCGCGCTACCATGCCTGGCTAATTGTTGATTTATTGTAGAGATGAGGTCTCGTCAAGTTGCCCGGGTGGGTCTCAAACCCGCGGGCTCAGGCAAACCACTCACCTTGGCCTCCCAAACTGCTGGGATTACAGGCTGAGCCACTGAGCCTGGCCAAATATTTTATTTCTTTATCACAGATTTTCACATCTGCTTATGGCTATCAGTTATCATTAACACAACTGAGACTTACTCAAGGGCAAAACAGGACATGGTCCCCAAATAGATCTAATTTCGTAATTATGAAAATGTTTATAATATTATTTGATATATATCAATATGATAACACAGAAACAGGGGAGGGGGAACCCAAGTGTAATCTATTTAAAACACAGGCCAAAAGCAAGATTTGACTAAAGTTGTAAAATTTTCAAATAAAGTGTAAAAGAAAAAAATCTAGGGTATTTAAGCCTTAAAGTACAAAGGAACTGAGTTTTTTTCTCCCCCCTATACAAGTATTTCATGTAGTTTTATTTCTGTTTTTCTTGTTTCTCATTTCTCTCCATGATGAGAAATATCAAAAAGTTTGGACTTTTCCAAATTTAGGCAAGAGAGTTCTAATCATTATGCAGAAGAGGAAAGTATTTAATTCTGAGGACATTTCCTACAGCAAACTATTTTTGCTAACCTCTAGCAGAGAGATGGAAGCTGGGTGCTGGTGACAACTTAGCTAGGCACATTCTCTCAAAATAATGATCCACTATCTGTCTGGCAGCCTACACTTGTATAAAAAGCAAGAAGCAAAATGAATTGTAATGAAATGTTCATGTTGATAAAGTTTTGGTTCCTAGATACAAAGGCTAAAATTTTCCAAAATTTAGCCAAGAGGATGAACACCATCTTCTAAAAGTCGTCATGTGTTTTTTCTAAACCTCCAAGATGAAAGCTGCAAAACACTTATCTTAATTATTATACTAATCATAAAAGAGCTGCCCCATCACTCACTTCTTCAACATAAATCTGACAACAAATCTGAATGCTTCCAGACCAGCCCTTATACAGTAGTAGCTGATAACAAGTCTACCTTAACTGAAGTGGGATATTAAGGGGGAGTTAATGTCACTCTACAACTTGCTAATGGAAAAAAACCTATGACTTATGCACATATATTATTGGCTTTAAAAATAAAAGCTTAAAACACTCTATACAAAAATCAAGTCAAGGTTCATAAATCTGTTGTTTGAACACAAGAGCATTACACGAATCAGTTCAATAGGGTCTAAAATTAATAGTAGAAGGTTCAGCTGACTCAAGCTTCAATTTAAATGCAAAAGTACGTAATTTACTCTGCATAAACTCTATAGGATCAAGAATAATAATGAATTTCCAGAACATAACACTAATTTTTAATTCAGATCAATTTATACTATCTGCAGACCAAACGCTTTTGCTTGATTATGTAACACAATTTTTTAAAAATTAAGACTCTCCCAGGAATAAATATGCATTTTCGTTTACAATGCCCATAAGAAATATACCCCCAAAATTCTTGTGAAATCATTATCATCTGACTCTTATAAATAAAGTCAAAGTTTTGTATTTCCTTAATTTAGCTGATTATGATTAATCTTCCAAATGCCACTACATACCTAACAATCATATAAGCATGTTGCAAACCATACAAAAAGAAAACAAGGAAACAAAATACTACTACTTACAGACTTCCTCTTCTGGGGAGACTCAGTTCCTTCTGCAAAAGAAAAAAAAAAAAAACATATATATATATATATATATATATAAAAGAGATGCTCCATTAGCTTTAGATTACCAGGATACCAAATGGATAGTACAAAATGCATCACCCTTCATGTTGCTTGGTTTAGTATTTCCTATACTGAAAAGACTTTAATGTCATAATTTTATCCTTCATACATTGTTCTCTCTACACACTGTGTTTATGGTGCAAACAGTTTATCTCAATTTCAGAGCACAAAAAACATCCATCTTCCTTCCCAAAGTAACTCCAGTAAAATATTGCGTTGAGTTACAAGGCCCTATAATTGAGCACAGAGAAAATCTGAGGAGGCAGAGAAACCCAAACAGGAAGTAGATATAAGTAGAAGAAATTTTGCAGGATTATAATTAAATAAAAGGTGAAATGAAGAGGGCAATTAAACCTGTTTGCCCTCAACAGAAATAAACTCATGCAAAACACCGTGGATACTAAAAATTTGCACTTTATTATTTGGGATTTGTTTGGTTTTTGTTTTTTGAGTTAGGGTCTCACTTTGTCACCCATACTCACTACAGACTCAATCTCCTGGGCTCAGACAATCTTTCAAACTCAGTCCCCTGAGTAGATGGAACTACAGACCTGTGCCACCACACCCAGCTAATTTTTGATTTTTTTTGTAGTGATGAGGTCTTGTTATGTTTCTTAGGTTGGTCTTGAACTCCTAGCCTCAAGCAATCCTCCCGCTTCAGCTTCCTGAAGTGCTGGGATGTACTTTATTTTGTTTTAAAAAAAAGATAAAAGCTGGGCTTGGTGGCTCAGCCTGTAATCCCGCGCCTTGGGAGGCTGAGGTGAGTGGATTTCCTGAGCCCGTGGGTTCGAGACCCGCCTGGGCAACTTGGTAAGATCTCATCTCCACAATAAATCAAAAAGAATTAGCCGGGCGTGGTAGCGCGCGCCTGTAATTCCGGCTACTTGGAAGGCTGAGGCGGAAGGATCGCCGGAGCCCAGCAGGTCGAGGCTGCGGTGGCGGGGAGCGGCCACTGCACTCCAGTCTGGGCGACAGAGTGAGACTCCGACTCAAAAAAAAGAAAAAAAAAAAAAAAGAATTCAAAAGGTTTCCTTTTGGTATTATTTCTCAAAACAATAATATTATTATTGCTTTACTATTCCTCAGGATATTTAAAAGTAGGTTAATAAACCTCTCAAAGGTAATTGGACATCAGAGTGTTTCATGGTTCTAAAGGCGGCTCCTACTTATCTCAGATTAAGATCATTATCTACCTAAGCATGGAGAGGCTGTGGAAAACCAAAAACCAACCCAGCAAATAAGCCAACCAAGTAAATAAACAAAATCAGATTCAGAAATATCTCCATCAGCTACAGAAGTTTTCAAAGTCCTGCTACTCCAAAATAATTACTTGAGGACAATAAAGAACAGGAAGCAACGGGTCATCTGGCTGTCTAAACTCAAAGCGCACTCGAAATCTGAAGACTGGGCTACACTGGCTGTTCATTCCCAAAATTCCCATTTATTTTCTGCCTTCCAGGTTCCTGAGAATCATCTTTTGAAAGGTATTTCCCGGTCAGCTTCAAACTCACCTTTCCTGTCCCCTGTTTTTATTGGATGCTTAAATGCCTGCCATGGACAGCCGTCAGATATCTCCTCTCGTAGTGCAATGTACTCTGGCACAGCTTACAGAGCGGCCTTGACAGCATTAGCCCAGAGGGGAGGAGAGCTCTGTGGTGGGCTGCTTCAAACACAGGATGCCTCATTTATTAACTGGCAAATATATTTCCATACAGAGCTATAGCAATCATATAACTGTTTGCTAGCAAGAGGAACAATCAACAATTTTAGGAACGAAGAATCCTCTTCTTTCTCCCAGCAGCCGACATTTTCTTTTCCTGGGCTGCAGGGTTCAGCGGCGAAGTGCTTTTTGTTTTGTTTTGTTTTGCTTTTTTCTTTAATGCTTGATTAGCCCTAAGAAATTATAGTGTTTGCTGAACTTGGCTCCCTGATTCTGAAACATAAATATACCTTCAGTTACTAAAACTCCTAATGGCAACAGGAAAGTCTCTGACTAAGACAGTTTTCCTTGGGACCTGAAATGTAAATAGAAAGCCAATGAGCAATTTTCTGTATGTGTATCTTTGGTTAGGGTATGCACTGTGAAATTAGTGTTATAAGCAGATTTTTAAAAAGGAAAAAAGCCGGGCTCGGTGGCTCAGCCTGTAACCCCACGCCTTTGGGAGGCTGAGGTGAGTGGATTGCCTGAGCCCGCGGGTTCGAGACCTGCCTGGGCAGCGAGACCTCATCTCTACAATAAATCAAAAAATCAGCCGGGCGTGGTGGCACGTGCCCGTAATTCCAGCTACTCGGAAGGCTGAGGCGGAAGGATCGCCGGAGCCCAGCAGGTCGAGGCTGCGGTGGCCGGGAGCGGCCATTGCACTCCAGTCTTGGCGACAGATTGAGACTACAACTCAAAAAAAATAAAATAAAATAAAAAGAAAAAAAGAGAGAATAGCTCACCAGACTGTTTAATTAATTAATTAGCTAGTTTATTTATTTAGGATGGGGGTCTCACTATACTGCCTAGGCTGGTCTCAAACTCTTGGGTCAAAGTGATCCTCATAACTCGGCCTCCCGAGTAGCTAGGATCACAGGCACACAACGCCAGGCCTGGCTCAGACCATTTCTTTTAGAAAGGAACTGAAACCCACTGTACTGCAAAAGACCTAAAGTCCCAACGGGTAATACTCTTCTGTCCAATAATTTGATCTGACAACAGCACAAAAGGTACCTGAGATGTTATCATTAATAAACAAAAAAATAACCCATCAGATGTTATTTCAACTCTATATGCAAATAACCACTCAGAAGATAGAAGAGGGAGAGGGCCAAATTAAGGACCCAAATAGTTCAATCAATCATATCCCACCAAGTGACCTGACCATAAACTGGCTGCTCTGTTCTGAGGAAAAGCTGCTGAAACAGCAAGATAAGGGATAAAAACCAACTCTGTTTTTAATCAGAAGTCTTTCCAGTAGGTCTAGAATTAGGAGTTCTAAACAAGGAGAAAGGTTACGGTGGCAACCCAGCACTGCTGCTCCACAGGACGGCAGCCAAGATTCCAAGATGAGGAGCAAAGGACATTTAATAGGCCACTGTCAACTGACCTGAAGCCACCACGCTAACCAAGCTGAAGGAGCTAATCCACCTGATGGCTTGAATGTCAGGCTCAGGACTGGAAACTCAATTTGGTAGCAAATTGGAATCAGATGTGATGGTAATAAAGTGAGAGAAATGAATGCGCCATGGCCAAGACCTTGTGAACAGTCGCTACAAAAGTCTGCAAATACCAGGAGGGCCAAGCAATTGCAGCCGGAGCAGGAAGCAGCAACTGCCCTAATGCGTGGGGGCCGCATGCTGATAAACCTGCACCGAGCAGACCTAAATGAACCACATCACAGCATTTTGCCACCAAAGCCCCTGCAGTACTCTGTGTCTGTGTCCTCGTTTCATTTTCTTAATGTCAGGAGAAGGTCACTAACACATATTTAGATAATTAGATGAGACATGTGGGGGTGGTCCGAGTCACAAACCTAAGACGGTGCTTGGTATATGGGGAACATGTGTCAAAAATCTGATGTCAGGCAAGAACTGGAGAAGGAAAGAAAAGGGGGAAAAAGAGCAAGAAGCATGCATCTGGACTAAACTATATGTTCTTATTAACCATCACCAGGTTAAATACATTCTTAAGAATATATTTAAGAAGACAAAAATGTTTAAATTTTCATTGATATTGATTACTCAGTGACTTTTAATATTTTTAGAGTTGCTATTTATCATTATTTGCTTGATATTATATCCTCTGCCCCCTTTCTAAAAGTGTTAACTAGCAAATATTTGCATTGAAAATAAAGGTGAAATAAAATTAAACTTGTCTGAGAATCCTGTTATTGTCTTGAGATCCCTTGATAAAACTGGGAGTAAAGAGTTCCTCTAATCCAGGAAAAGAATTCATGGAGAATCCAAGAAGACACGTGGGACAAAATAAATGATTCTGCCCCTTTCCCTTAGCCATCCTTGCCTCCAAAAGGAGAAAAGAACAGTTCTACTCATCAGACAGGAGAGAAAACTGCAATGTCTTATATGGACAAGCAATTTCCTGCAGTCATTTTAAAAAATATTTATAGAGGAGAAACTAACAAATACTACCATAACCAAGCAATCAAGGTTAACATCACCAGTGCTAAGTCAAGCTAACATCAGGTGCTCTCTCACCTGATAAGATGAGAAGGAAACCTCACCCCTGTGTTAGTCTCCCTAAAAATCCATAATTCCAATCTAATCCTGAAAAAGCATCAGACAAATCCAAATGAAGGGACATTCTAGAAACATCTGGCCAGTACTCTTTAAAACTGTCAAGGCTGTGAAAAACAAGGAGAAATTAAGAAATCTCTGGCATAGATCAGAGAAGACCAAAGAAACATGACAATTTAATGCAACTAGCAATCCCACTACTTGGTATTTATCCAGAGGAAGAGAGATTGTTATACAAAAAAGACACCTGCACCTGCATGTTTATAACAGCACAATTAACAATTGTAAAGATATGGAATCAATCTACATGCCCGTCAACCAATCAGTGGATGATGAAAATGTGATGTGTGTGTGTGTGTACATACACATACATACCATGGAATACTATTCAGGCATAAGAAAGAACAAAATAATGTCTTTTGCAGCAACTTGGATGGAACTGGAGACCATCCTAAAGTGAAGTAACGCAGGAACAGAAACTCAAACACTGCATGTTCTCACAGCTAAGCAAAGGACCTGTAAAGGCATACAGAATGGTACAATGGACATTGGAGACTCCGAAGGCGGAGGGTGGGAAATGGGGAGGGATGAAAAATCACCTATCAGATACGATGTGCATGAGGGGGGGTGATGGGTACATTTAAAGTCCACCACTTCACCACTATACAAAGCAGCCATATAACCAAAAATC